ATACTGAGAAGGAGCAGGAAACTGTGCATCCATTTTTCCAACTTGTCTTCCTAAGCAACAAAGCTGATGTTCTCTCTGCTTCTTTGTGTACATGCCACAACAGCTTCCAAGCCCTCAGTCAATTCTGAACAAATAATATACCAAAAGAAATTTCCAGTAAGATGCATGTCTCCAGTGAGGAAAGGATTGTAGCCTGAACTCAAATTTTATTAGACATTATAAAATCTTCATAGAGAGCAAGTATGAAGGTCCCAAACATGGGAAATGCTTCATGCAGAGCATGCACCTACAGGTCATTTAATAGCAACATGAGACAGAAACCATCATCAATTAGTAATGCTGCTCCCTGAACTACAGATGCCTACCTGTCAGTGAAAATTCTCTTACAAATTCTACAGCATCATTTGTGGTACTAGAATTTATGTGCAGAACTGACTACTTTAAAATGCTTATTGTAAATATTTTATATTGCTCTCAACCTGATAGCACAGTGACAGGGAATGTTGGGCATTTGGGATGCCCTGGAGGGGTAAAAATAAATGATAGCTTACACCTCAGTGCTGCCCTTTGAAGGGACCCTAGTTAGCCAGATAATGCTATGGGACAATTGCAGTTAAATCCCAAGAGAGCTTTTGGAGTGTCATCCACTGGAGCCCTGATGAGTGCAGAAGTAATTAGTTTCAGATGAGCACACAGGCACATAACTTTAAAAGGGTCTGTCTGCTCCCATGCTGGGAAAGAAAAGGCATTTCTGCCTAGCAGCCAGGTCAACTTGCCCTGGAAACAGGAGAAGGACCTTCCTCATTGATTCAGGGTTCAGCTAGGTGTGTGTTTTGGAGCTGAAGGATGGAATTGCATTCACTGCCAGTGAAAATTACGGGACCATGTTTGCTGGGTAGCTGACAAATTCCCATAAAATACTGTGACGAAGTTTCTCTGTTTCACAGGGTAGTCCTCTGAGGTCACTGCTCAGCAGCTCAAGACTTGGCTTACCTACAGGTGTTCAGCGTGCCAGACAGTTCCCAGGAACATACATAAAGCTCTCTTTCCTAAAAGATCTAATCTAAACACCAGTATCACTGCACTTTTATGTATATCTCTGTGTGTTCTGGCACCTGATAAAAGCTCCATTATTTTCAATGAGTGAGTGTCACCTGGTGATACCACAGCTTCCTCTGAGGAGGTGCTCTCACAGAGTTCATCCTTAGGTTATACATGGGTTATTTTTTTTTTTTCTCAGAAAACTCCAGGAAAGACATCTGAAAAACACTCTTGTGCATCTTGTCTGGATTTCTTCCCACCACAGAAGGTACGAGCTAAAGCTCAGCTTCTCTTGGAGAAGTGATGGCTCAGCAGCTGAACTCCTGTTGTGTACAGAACAGTAAATGCCAAGTATTGATGGAGCAGCTACAGGTTTGTTGTTAAAAGGACCACTAGTGAGTACTAAATGCCATCAGATGGTTAAGCACAGCCATTTGTGGTTTAATGGCTCCTCTCAGGATCCTGGGAAACTAGCTTGTAAAAAGCATCAGAGGCCCACTTTGTTTTTAACTAGCCACAAAGGCATTTAACTGAGCAAGCCAGAGTGGGCTCTCCGATACAAATAGTTCTGGCTGAGCAAGACACACTTGCTGCAGTCTCTCTAAGGGAGAGAATAATTGAATCTTCCTGGCCCTTGGTGTAGGTTAGACAGGTGCTTTTTCTGCAGTCACGCTGGGGTCCTGCAATTTACCACAAGCTTCTAAAAGCTTTACATATCCCTAGTCACTGCACATAGCTAGACGATGATAACCACCTTACTGCTGAGCTGAGATGCAAATGTGAAATGGCAGTGCCTTCTGGACCAGCATCACCCTTAGTGGAAGGATTCTAATATTTTTATATTTAAATTTAGTGTCTGTTTCTAAGAGATTTACTAGGCACTATGATGATTCTGTAATATGGAGTTGACCAAGACTATTATTTTGCATGCTTTATACCCATATTTAACTTCAACTAAGTTGAAAAAGTTGTCATTGTGGATAGTGTGCTAGAGACAAGGTTTTTGGAGAAACCTTTTGGCTCCTATTTAAGTCTAGTCTGCCTGGGACAATGATGGAAGAGATACTATTCTGTGCTCACAAATCCATTCATACAAGCATACCACAGAAGACAGAAGCAGTACTTCTTTCTAGTGTTAATGGAACAGTCCATCATGCCTTGCTTTGCAGCTGGTTCTGGCAGAGTATGAAACAGAGTGCTCACGCCTGCTGATCTGATAATGCTGAAATGCTCCCCTTCCACAAACACTCCTACTATGTCGAACAGTTTGAATTAAACCTTCATCCATGGCCTCCCAAGTGCAAGGGAAGCCATCAGAGTACTCCCTGGATGGGCTGTCATGTGTCTTAGTGACAGGAACCAAGCACTGATGTGTCTAGCACAGAACAAGCATGTTCAGTGGGCTGGCCCCTGCAAGCAACTAACACTGCCCTAACCTGCTCATTCTGGGTGAGCCAGCATCCATCTCCCCTGGGCTTCCACTGCTGCTTCAAGAGCACAAATCACTCCCTGTCTACAGCTACACCTCTGTCAAAGGCGAATAATTCACTGACTATTGAAATGGCAACCAGTCTTTTTCCCCTTCCTTTCTTTTTTTTCCTCAGAGTGCCTGAATCAGGTCTGACTAGAGAAAGACTGTATAATCTCGGTCACCCACTGTTGGTTTTATACCCTGGGTAAAGCACAAAACCATGTCCTTGCACACGCAGCTCATTAGAAAGCACAGCCTGAACACAGGGTCCTTTCTAATCTAGGAATTCTGGGAAGCAGTGCTGGGGCAGGAGGTGGTGCCTGCTGACAGCCTTGCCATAGGGAGAGGGTGGTGAGAGCACACATCAGTGCAAAATGCTCCTATCGAGATGACATGGGGGGGGGTAAGCTCCTATAACCAAGTCCTCCCTTTGGCTCAAGGGCAGAAGATGTTCCTTGGAATGCAAGCCTAGAGTGGCTGTGTCAAACACAAACATATTTTGGTGTCCTCACCACTTGTATGGTCATATAAAAATCTCCAAAATGAGTATGCTAATTTCTTCACCTTTCAAGCAGCACATTAAAGCCATTTTGCACACACAGATTTTCACCTAAGACTTCTATATTTTTAACTCATTAAAATGTAACTGCTCTTGTTCTCAGTCTCAATATAGCAGTCAAAATAAATTCAGTGCTCATTTCAAACTACACTGACAGAATCCAGTAATGACCAAATAGGCTATTGCTGTGTATGAAAAATAAATCTCTTCTGTTTGCAAAAGAATTCTAAATAAGAGCTTAGAAACCTCCTGGCTTTTATTCATATTTACATTTGTGCATCTAAGGTTATTTAAATAATGTCTTCATTCCCTCTGTTCATAATGTTTTGGAACTGAAATGTAGTGTGCTCCAGGCCAAAACATTAAACTTAGAGTATACATAAATGTAAGTGGCATTTTACCTGAGTGACATGAGGAGTTCCTGAGACTTTGGGAGCCCAGCCAGCCAGCACACTGCACTGAACTGCACATGCAGATAAGGAGTATTTTCTATATTATTTGTGTGCAGCATATAGTAGTTCAGTGAGGAAAAAAATTTCAAAAATTATCTACTTTTTTAAGAGCTTTCTAGTATTAACCCTTTTTATCATCTCTATTCACATATTTTTGGACTAGCCAACACAAAAGTAAAACTAAAAAAAAGAGGGAAGTATAAAAAATATAAAATCATAATAATTAAAAAGCAGTACACTTTTGCATATATGTGGACACTTACCTATAAGCAGGATAACTAATACATCTGTAATATAATAACCAAACAGCAGAGGCTTCTGCCAGACCTCCACACCAACAGTACCGGTGAGCAGATATGCTGCTATTAATACCTACAGAAAAAAATTTATTATTTTCAGTCATTTCCATCAAAAGGTAGAGAATTTCACTTACCATCTTAATACAAATGCAAAAATAAAAAAAATAAAAATCTGTTAGTTACCTCCTGTCCCTACTTTACCTTCTTCTGCCCTGGCAAAACAATTACTTCAAAGAAGTGAAGCAACTTGCAGAGTTACCAACAGAATTATTTAAAATGTATGAAATATGGTAAGCAAGCAATTTCCCTGGTAATGTGTGCATCTGCTTGTATGTGGTAAGTATTACTGACTTACCTTTTCAAAATACCTAAATCCACTGTTAATGCCAGGTCTCCCCACTGCCCATGCACTTCCCTGTTTTTGGATACAGACTTCAGAATTAGCAATGTGGTTATTTTTGCAGCTCTGCCCCTTGAACTGATCATATCAGAATAACCGGGGGGTGGGGGGGGTGGGGAAAGAAAAACCCTAAGCTCACCGGAAACAATTATAAAAAATAATAAAAACATTCCATGGAATGTGAAGAAATAAAAATAATGGGAAGGAGGTGAAATCTTCCCTGATTTTTAATTTGTTTGACAGATAACATCATTACAGGACCCAAAAAGAAATCACGTAGATGTCATTAGGAGTGAAAGGAGACATACACAAGGCTCAGGAGCAGCCAGCCAGAGGGGCTGCTGTCCTTCTCTTCCTCCAGCCTGCCTTGCTCTCAGCTGTTCAGTTTTGCCATATGACCCATAAGGGGCTGTATGTTTCATGCTACACTAGCTCTAAATTAAAACAACAATGTTCATTACAGTGCCATTTAGAAAATTGCATATTCCTCTATTTATTCCCAAGTAGCTTTCAGTAACCTTTATATTTCCCACCCAATGCAGCTTCTTACTCTGGGATGAAAAATGGTTTCCAGCTTTACTTGTGTTACAGATTTTACTATTTGTTACTTAGGTTTTTTAATACTCATTTTTTCTATGTTATGTGTTTCCTCCATTTGAGCTTCAACAAGCACATTTCTAGTCTTCTATTAAATTTTAACTCAAAGATACACTGAAAACCTCTTTGCTAATTAACAGGCTTTTTAAGATCACAGATTAAAAGCAGAATGCTAATGTCACTTAAACTTCTATTACACATAGATAATATTACATTTGATTTCACTTACTTCTCTGTATCTGAAATCAAGATTCCTGCCCTGTCAGTATGTAGATCTTTAAGAGGTTTTGTTTGGATTTTGCATTGTGGAGCTGGATGTTTGAATTGCCTCTGCAAGAACAAGCAGCACAACAGATCTGCAGCAAGGAAAAGCAGGCACTAGTGAGTGCCATTATGTCTTGGGCCACTGAAGACAGTGAGTCAAATTTTGGTCTAAGTGAAGAACATGTTTAATGGATTTTGCAATCCACTGCATCAGAGGTAACATTTGGCTTCCTGAAAAAATTTTATTATATTACCCATAAGACATGACGGATGGAATCCCGACCCCATGAAAGTTGATGGCAAAACTCCAACTGGCTTTGATGGAGCCTGAATTTACCCTCACACGTTGAACCCTGAACAGACTTTTTTGGCAAGTGATAAAAGAGGAATTTCAGTATTAACCATTATTACAGTCAGTACTTTACTTTTGGCAGGGCAGTCATGAGCATCACTGTCAGATGTCAGTGCGTGTCCAGGAACAGGAGTGTGGATGCAATGAGCTCTCACAGGGAATGCCCTGCCCTAGGATTTGGTGATGCAAGACTCCCAGACTGAGATTGCCTCTTAACAGATGTAGCATATGAAAAAAAAAAAACAACACTCCTTGGCTTCGAAATTTTGGTATGTTGTTTTTTAAGGACTCATCACTTTTACTACACTAAAGAGGTCTCCTGCTTGAGAAAGCAGACCTCCCTTAGAAAGCTGGAAGGATGAGAAAATGGCTGTGTCCCTTGATCTAAGCTATACTAGCAAAAAATTGAAGATTGTCAAAATTATTAGCAAAGCCTAAGCCTGTTATAAACTGTTTTAAAGGCACTACTGGTGAAAAAAAAAAGAGTAAAACAGTGTTCCTAAGTGCAATTGAATAATTATACTTAAGATAGTCAAGTTTTTCGTTTATCTCTCTACCATCAACCAGCTTTAGTACTTTTCAGATATAAATGTAGTCTTTAGCAAGTAAAAATAATTGCAGCCTTTTGTAAAATGAGAAGTCCAAATTAAATAACTGTATTTGGTTTGTGTGGCCAGTTTTTGGTAGCAGGGGGGCTACAAGGGTGGCTTCTGTGAGATGCTGCTAGAAGTTTTTCCCATTTCCAGCAGAGCCAACACCAGACCTGCCACTGGCCAAGGCTGCACCAACCATGAAATGGTGACAGTGCCTCTGGGATAACATGTTCCAAAAGGAAAAAAAGCATCTATTATTGTGCAGTTGTAATTGCTGCCAGAGAAGAAAGGAGTGAGAATATGGGAGAGGAACAGCCCTGCACACAACAAGGTCAGTGGAGAAGGAGGGACAGGAGGTGCTTCAGGCACTGAAGCTGAGGTTCCCCTACAGCCCATGGTGATGCAGCTGTGCCCATGCAGCCTGTGGACATCCAGGGGAATGCAGAGATCCAGCTGTAAGCCCCCACACCAGAGCAGCTGGGTGCTTGAGAGGAAGCTGTGAACCTGGGGGAGCCCCATGCTGGCCCAGGCTCTGGCAGGGATGTGCAGACCTGTGGAGAGAGAAGCCCATGCTGGAGCAGCTTTCCTGGCAGGACTTGTGGGGGACCCACACAGGAGCAGGCTGCACCCAAATGACTGCACCCCATGGAAAGGTACCCATGGTACAGTACATGAAGAACTGTAGCCCATGGGATGGACTCACATTGGAAAAGTTCACAAAGAACTGTCTCCCATGGGAGGAACCCCACTCTGAAGCAGGGGAAGGACTCCTCTCCCTGAGCAGCAGCAGAAAGAACCTCTAATGAACTGGCCATTCTGTCTCCCTGTGCCAGTGGGGCAGTGGAAGTAGAACCCAGGAAGAAGTGTTTTGAAGATTTGTCTTAGCCCAGGGATATTAATTGAATTTCTTATGAATCAAAATCAAAGTAGAGAAATGAGAACTGAACCTCTTTTGCTCAAGATAGTAATTCATGAGTGATCTCTCCCTGTCCTTCTGTCAACTCATGAGTCTTTCATTATATTTTCTCTCCCCTCCTCAGAGTGATATCACTCCCCCTGCAGAGGGGAGTGATAGAGCAGCTTTGGTGGGTGCCTGGCATCCACCCACCACAATAACACAAGTGAGAACTGTATAGCAAGGTAATGTAGATGGGTAAAGTCTTGGATTCCAACTCTTGGCAGCATCTGACCAGGAATATTTTTGACTTTCCAAGACCTTCCCTATGAGGATGAGGAATACTTATGCTGAGAAAAATGTGGAAACACAAGGTGTTAATTTATAGGCTCTATGATATAGCTGACAGCAAGACAGCTGGATTCTGAGCAGGGGCCCCCTATCTTGCCACAATTTTGTAAATAACAGCAACACAGACACGCTTGTTCCTGTGTAAAATCAGAATAATGCTTTGATGTTGCATTGGGAAAATTCTATAAACATAAGACAGTATAACCCCTCAAAGTCTTCTACCTTTTAGCCTTTTACCTATTCTCTAAAATACTTGGTATTTTTAAATCACCATCTCTTTCATGTCTTTTCACTATTTCAGGTATAAGTTTTGTGACCACAGTTTTAGATTGTGTGTGTACATACTTTGTTTTTCTTACCATTGATTTCTGTTTTACACACAGGCACATTTAGTATGCTGTGTGATATTCTACATGATGGAAAAAAAAAATCAAATATTTTGTCATCTTTTAAAAAAACATGGATATGCTTTAAATTCTTTATGATTCCACAAAAACCTGACATTAATTTTACTGTAGTATTCAATTTCACTAGCACATTGTTATAGTATTAATTGCTTATGTGTTGAAATATTTTCCATTAACACAGTGCACAAAATAAACATTTTGACATAAAGCAAAGTCATTTAAAATACAAGGCTACTTCATTCTTCTGTTAATAAATGTGACACTTGTCTAAAAGAGTAAGAATTATTTTCTACAAGCTATTTCAATATGAGTTAGGTTTAATGTATGTGATATTTTTCTATTTTTTTCTCAGTTTTTTTTTCTTTCAATAAATAGTTGGAAGTTGCAAATCTGAGACTCTGAAAATTTTTACCTAAAAAGATCACTTTGTATTTAGACATTATAGACAAATTGTTAAAGGCATGTGGAAGATTAATTAATCAAGAAAGGTTTGTGGGGAATCATAATCAAGTTGTTAAGAATGAAGCAGTCTGCTGCAGAAAAAGCCTGTGCACAGCAGGTTCTTCTGTTGAGATTTCACACGGATACACCATGGGGCTTCTCTCAAATAACTGAATATTGAGATCAGTTTCCAGCTGTGTCCGAAGGCAGCTTGAAGCAGACACCATGGTCTGGCCAGCACTGCTTCCTCTCTGCTATCACTTCTCTTACTTCAACAATTCCATTGTGCTCCAGCTTTGCAACTAAGTAATCATATTTTTTCTTCACAAGAAAGGCTATGCTTTCCACAGACACTTCAGATTAGAAAAGCTCTGAAAGTGAATATCCTTTCAACTGAAATTAAATTCTGAATCCTGATAATGTGGCCAAAAAAACAACACATTTGCATCTTTATTTTGCTTTTAAATAGAAAAGGGGTTTTCCCTACAGAGGAGGTAGAAATTTTTTCAAGATGTGATGTGCACTTGCATTGTTTGGGATTTCTCTGCCAGCTCCTGAAACACTGGCTGCCACAGTACAACCCTGGAAAAGGTCATATGGAGCATATTTCAGCATGGGTTTTGTAAATAAGCTTGTCAAAAGAAAACCTGGTGTATGGCACCCATGAAAGAAACCTTTCGCAGGTTTGACTGAAAGGAAGGAGAAAAGGAAGTTCTATAATGTTTCAGCTGCTAGGAGCATCGTGTACTTCCACTTATTCAGAGTTCCAAGGCAGGCAGAGGGTTCTCCCAGAGGCTCTAGGTGGTAGAAAGCCATCAGGCAGAAGCAGCTGGGAAAGCATGTTAGACTGAAACCCTGGGGCTCACGGTCCAAGCACCCATCCCTTCAGGCACAAGTCTCTCTATATGGGGGATTTCTGGTCATCCTCTCCCTGCAGGGCAAGGGCTGGGCCAGAGAGAGCTGCCTGTTGCCTTTGGGATTTGCTGCTTGCGCTTCTTCTGAGCTCGACCCTCTCGGCTGGGGAGAGGAAGGAGAGTGGAATTGTCTGGGTCACCAGCTCTCACACAGCTCTTCACTTTTAAAGTTTTAATTAAGAATATAAAGGGATCTCCTGTTACACTTAAGGCAGCACCAGTGGGGCAGAGGTATCATTACATCATATTAAGGAAAAATTAGTACTTTGTTCCCCTGCTATGAACTCAGCTGCAGCAGCTTATGAAAAGCAACAGCAGCATTAGGCGAGTATCTCATTAGGGTAATATTAAACTCTTCAGAAAGTAAACAATTATTTTTTTAAACAAAATAAGATGATGTCTGTGAAAATTAACATATGGCAAGAAGCCAGAAATTTTAATTTCTCAGGAAAGCTTTGTCTTTCATTTTTTTCTCCAAGAAACTTAATTTGCAGATATTAGCTTTCTTTGGTTGGTCTTGTGACAAAAATAAAAGTCTTCGTTTTACAAGATGTATGCAAGGGAATTTCTCACAGATCATAGCAGAGGTTTATTTTTTAGCCTTTTCTTCAAACTTTTGAGGTTCCCAATAGGTGCTACTTAAAAGTGTCTAGATGCTGTGGTACTGAAGCTCCTCTCCCTGCACCTTTCCCTGCTACTCAGGCATCAGCACAGGATAGATCCTTGTGCAAGAGGGAGGAGGAATAGCTTTCCCTGCTGCATTTGCTGCCACCTTGATTCTGGAACCATAAATGTAACAGTCCTCTGACCAAGCATCTCTCAGACACACTACAGCCATTTTTCAAGTTTACAAACCACAGCTTCCTGCAAATGATTGTCTGCTGTAATCAAAGCTAATTGGAGTGCCAATTACAGCCCAGCTAGCATAATTGGGTTCCCAGTTCTGATGAGTCATCAAGTCACAGAAAAACGTGATGTGCATAAGTCCCACAGATTTCTCTGTCTACAACAAGGTATTTTTTCATGAGAAACAGCAGCTCTTTCTCTGCCACAGCTAAGGCAGAGCCCATGGGCAGGCTGTGTTTATGTACAGCAGAGCTGACTCAGCAGCAGTGTCCTGGGAGCCACATGCCACTTAAGTGCTCATTAAGGTCATCAGTCCTTTATTTGCATGCTGACAGGAATTACTATTTTTCTTGAGTTCTGGGGTGATAACAAAACCCAAAGTTCCCGGCTACCAACAAGTTTAAAAGCAAAAGCAGGGGACTAGAGCACCTGAGTGCCTGACATGCCAATGCAACAGCATCAAGTTGTAGGTGAAATTACTGAAGACAGGACAGAGAAGCACATTCCTGCAGCACAATCCAGCAAGGAATGCCATGGAGGAAATACCGACCTAAACATTGTGAATCAGTCTGGAAGCAGATAGTGAGTGCTTTCACACTCTGCCTCTAAATGTGAATACCTGGCAGAAAAGCAATGGGGGGAAAAAACCAGGAAGGCGACCATGACCCTTCTTACTCATCATCAGCCATTTGCTATTGTCCCTAGTATCCTCTAAGTTACTGGAGATGAAAAGCTGTCTTTAATACTGCACATACCATACAAATTTGCTGAATGGGTTTACAAAACAAGAACAAATTTTTAGAGGAATTAAGATCTTTTACTAGACTACTCAGTAGAACTGGAAAAAAATGTATTATGTACTTTCTGGTTTACATGTGATGTGTTTTGGACTAATGGAAAAATACCACCTGGAGCTACAAATCCTGCCTTTTCTTTGTTCATAGGCAATCACAACTACAACAGCTATTTTTTTACAGATGGGAAAACTGACATACAGAGAATTCAATAGTACAGTCTTCTACCACTGCTGATGACTGTGCTAAATAGCATCAAAAAATCCTCACATTTACAAGTTTATCACTTTGACTGTAACCAAGTCATCACAGAAGGTACTAAAAAGCAAGTGAGTAGGTCAGTAGTTCAGCATCAGAGGAGAACAGGAAATAGCACTTGTTAGCACCTCACATCTCAGTTAATCAAAGCAGTTTACAAACTTTACTGATATTCAGCCTCACCACAAATCTGTCAGGCTGGGAAATATTACTACCATTATTTCCCAGATGAGAAAACAGGGCCAGAGGCACAGGTCACTAACAGGCACGGACAGAGTTAACAGTACTGCTCTGCTAGTTGATACCCATTACCAGATTTAACCACTAATACAGTTTGGATGCTGTAGTGATCCAGCAGAGCTTTCTGAACATTCACATGTACAGTGATCATCTGAGAAACAAGGGAAATCAGCCTGAACATAGCAATTCCTCTCCTGCTGGAAGAACTTCACGGAGAAACCTTACATAGACATGGATAAAACTCCCAGACCAGCTGGCTGCCTAATGTCTTAGTCCTGAGCCAACTTCTTTTCCCAAAACCTATTTTCTAGGGGACAACACAGATGCACCACAGCTGGACCACCATCTCTGAGTTGTTCTCAAACCACTGGATTCTGATTATGTTTACAGCTCTACATCTGCAGGCATTAATTCAAATACTGTATTTTCATTAAAACATATATTTGAGTATTTGTCAAACTTCTTTTCAATTATTTGGCTGTACCTTTCATCTCATGCCTGTAACAGGAAGTTCAGAGGACTGACTGTGCTCTTCAGGCTGCAAGACCTTGGCTACCTGAGACACAGATAAGCCAGCCCACAGAAACCCCAGTGCTGGGCCATTGGAAGTGCACTGAGCTTGCTAATACTGCTACTCATCTGTGCACTGCGGACACCTTTCACTGTAGTGCCCTGGGAATGTTTTCTGAAGAGGTCCACCTTAAGACAGGGCTGTAATCCAGACAAGAACTCAGCTGGTGCTGACTGTGGGCTGATAAGTGATTTGTATTACTGAATGTCTATGACTTTTTGACATCCATGATGACTGACCTTTTTTTCAAAGGTAGACCTCACTTGACAACAGTTACTGCTCTCTGCATAGGTACAATACTATTTCCATTACCACATTTATTGTAAAATGGAGAAGGTCTGGGAGCGTATAACTGTGTAATTACTGTTAATAGATACTACTTGGACTAATTCACATCGTGCCTCACAACCTGGTATTGGGGGGAAAATTGCTTGTGGCTTCAGATAGCATTGTAATTTTTGTTAGTACCACAAATCAAATGCAGTTAAATGACATTCTCATGGGCACTGTCTGGCTGCTAGGCTTGCTGCAAGCCTTTTTTCTCCTCCACAGCAATGAATCTCTGATGCTGACAATTTGCTCAAGAGCAGCACTTTATTACAAATGCAGAAAATATTTCTGAATTACTTCTAGGGTTTTACAATTTCACATATTTCAATATCTCAGCCAAATATATTTGCCTTGATCTCTATTTTTCTACTGCTTTAATACTGTGAAAACAATTACATAGTTAAATAACCAAAACCAAAACAGGGATGATAAATACTTACCACTTGGCTTATATCATATCCCCAAGGAAGAAAAAGAACTCCTGTGTTATATTTCTCCCAGTGTGAACACATGAAGTTAAACAAGACAATGCTTAAATATATATACATTGTATATACAGAAACTCCAGTCTTCCCATTGTCACGGGAACAGACAGAAAAAAAAGAAAGCACAAAAATGGAGGTAGCCCAGCTATCCAGCCCATGGTCAAAAAGTTCTCCCAGAGGAGTACTGGACTGAGTCCTTCGAGCATGTTTCCCATCTATGGAGTCTAAGAAGGATTGAAAAAGGAAAAGAAACAAAAAATTAGAGCACAACAAAAGGAGTGGCTTTCTTCACATACAATTCATTACTGCCATTCATAACACACAGGAAAATTACACTGATGACAGCAAACTGAAGCACAACAACCCTCTCAATACCAACAGGTTAGAACTACTCATAAAATAATTGCTCCAGTTATTTTTCTGTCCTTACCTCAGCTCCAAAACTAAATGTTACCTTCCTCATGGGTTTTAGAAAGACACTCATAATTGCTTGCCCCCAGTGGTCTTGAAACACTTTTACTTCAGTCCCTGCAATTAGTTTCAAGTACTGAAAAGTGTCTGTAGGACTTCTTGCCCATCCATTGGTGTTGTGGGCCCTCTGAGCCTTCAGACCTCCTGTGGGGTAGATTCACTAAGGCATTTAAGTTGCTTGATGCTCAATACCTCAATGACTAACAGTTATATGGCAGCTTCAAGGGGCAAATTTCATAAAATTTATTTGTATTTGTGCCTACATATATTTTAAAGCGTTTTTCAGTGTTCATACAAGAGTGTGCCCAGGTGGCCAAGAAAGGCCAATGGCATCCTGGCCTGGATCAGCAATAGTGTGGCCAGCAGGATCAGGGCAGCGATTGTGCTCCTGTACTCAGCACTAGTGAGGTCACACCTTGAATCCTGTGTGCAGTTGTGGTCCCCACACTACAAGAAGGACATTGAGGGGCTGGAAAGTGTCCAGAGAAGGGCAACAGAGCTGGGGAAGGGTCTGGAGTGCAAATCTTATGAGGAGCGGCTGAGGGAGCTGGGGTGGTTTAGCCTGGAGAAAAGGAGGCTCAGGAGTGACCTTATCACTCTCTACAACCACCTGAAAGGAGGTTTCAGTGAGATGGGGGGTCAGTCTCTTCTCCCACGTACAAGAAGAAACAGTCCCAGGTCACACCAGGGGAGGTTATATTGAATATCAGGAAAAATTTCTTCCCAAGACAGTTGTCAAGCATTGGAACAGGCTGCTCAGGTAAGCAGTGGAGTCACCATTGCTGGAGGTGTTTAAAATATGTACAGATGTGGCACCTGGAGACATGGTTTAGTGTTGGACTTGGCACTGCTGGGTTAATGGTTGGACTTGAGGACCTTAAAGATCTTTTCCAACATGTACAATTATATGATTCTAAGAATGCATTATAGTTAAGGTGCATTATGTGCTGACCACTTTTAGTACTTGAGTGCTTAAAAAATGATCCAGCAATGTACAGGACCTTACTTTGAGGATGTAGTTGGACAATATGGTTTGAGTTGATCTGATAGTTCACTGCTGTCAAACAGGGTGACCTGCAGCCTATTCAGCTGGTGAAAAGACAACATTATGTTTTCTTCTGGGTCACTGAATTGGTAGCATGAGTAGTACAAAATGCAAGGGAGATGTCACAAGGGAGGGATGGTGAATGCAGGGAGGAGAAAGGTTGTCTAGCAGTTGTGATGTTTCTTAGTTGTAATGTCATAACATGCCCTTAGTCTCTTCTCTGAGACTGTGCAGGTGAAAAATAGAACTATTTTCCTCTTAAAGTTAAGTGTAAACATGCAGGATGAACCTCTTAGGAAAAAGTACACAGAACAAACCCTGCAGATTACTTGTTTTTGTCTTGAATCTCAAAGTAAAATGGAGATGCTTTTCTTTTTGATATTACTTGGAAGGTGCTATGGCTAACAATTATCAGCTATTGATAGCATTAATAACCAAAAATTGACAAGGAACACAAATCAGCAGAGTGAGACCAAAGACTCCACAGCTGCTGTAGATCATATGCTACTTACTTCTCTGGATTATTTGGCAGTACTATGAGTTTTGTTTAATGTAAATATACTTCAGGGACCTAAACCAGGAAAACATGGGATTTCGTTTTGTACAGATTTTAGACTATATTCTATTGTAATACCTAAACAGCTGTGACATATCCTCTGCTCAAACACAAATCTCTTGAGACAGTTCTCAGAACTCTAAACTTAAATATCTCATAGAGGATTTCAAATATAGCTTGCCTCCTTCTAGAGGTTCATTCTCTATTAACATTTCCACTGAATTTTCAGCATCTTACTGGAATGTGAAGAAAAAAAAATTGCATAAGCTTGAGGTTTCTTGGAAGGTGTTGCAATAAAATTAGAGATTCTTCCATACATTAAACAATATCTCTGAAATTTAACCAGCAAATAAAGATATAAGCAATCCTAAAGAGTTTATGGTGCTTTATATTCCAAGAACACCTATCCCAAATCAGATAGGATTCAGTTACACGGGTGTTACTATTTAAAAATAAGAATGCTAGAAGATTTGCCTGTTTATAAATTTTAGGTTGTCACACATGTATATAAATACTAAAATATGTGAAACCTCACAGTGAAATAGTGGTTTTCATTTTGCAAGAACTTTGGTTTTTCTAAAAAGAAGCTTATAATGTTGTCCTAAAATACAGTACTTCTAATTATAATGGTCATGGAGAAAAATACAGGAACTATATGACACACACATCAAACAGGATTTTCAGAAATCCTTAACCATATTTTCCATGTAGTTTCATTAGCTTTTTAAAGGACTGAAAATATTTTCTAGTTTAGGTTTCAGTTTGAAAACATTCACGCCAACAATGGTGTGTGTTCAATAGTTAACAGGCACTGTCCCACACTTCCATTGCTTTAGAATTCTTATATTATGATTTTGTCTCACAAAGATTCATAAGTACTGTTTTATAAAGTTTATATAACTTACAAAGAGTGGAATTCAAAGTAACAGCAAAAAGCACTCCATTTCATGGAAAGGAAATTATACCAAAAATGATACCAAGGAAATGATACCAAACCACCTTAAAAAAGCAGAGGGGATGGACAGCTGCATGTGAGGGAATTTGGAGAGAGTAACTATGTCATTAAAATAAGCTGAAAAAGGTTACAGTTGCATATTTAGTTAGTTATTATGGTTCTTTCCAGTCTTCCAGAGGGAAAACTTTAGCCATGCAAAATTAAATCTCTGACTAAATATTTCATGAAGTGGCTTGGACAGCAGATGTAAAAAATCTAGATATATATTAGTTCATTATAGCTTTGACTGTCAACATTATGTTCCTTGTCTTCCAAGTATTAGGAACTAGAGGCTTCACTGGCAAATACTATCTACATTAAAAGTCTCAGAAGCTGAATTTCCCATGAGCCTTCTGGGGTGCCATAGAGTAACAGTTCCAATATGTAATTCCAATTTATGAAACAACAGTCACTTTATCAAATTCCATACAATGACATAAAAAGTGGTTTTCACAAAAGAAACCACTGCACCTGAGTACAGAGAGCTGCTAGAGAAATCTGACCAGTAGTCAGCTTCAAGGGATGGTTGTCCCATTTCTTTTTATGCTACAAACACAAACAAATTCTTGACAAAAAGATTCTGGTGCAATTTCAACAACTGAATAGAAATGCTAAGGTATGTACAACGCAGAGGGAGACGTCTGCTCCAGGGGATACTTTAGGTTAGTCAAGATGGCTCTACATGCATGGGTCTGATTCCAAAAGTGGTCAGCACCTCTGCACAGCACTGCAGCCTACACACATGACACATCTGTATATAGCCTGAGCATCTCAAACATGGCACACAAATCTGTGGCTACACTGCAATGGCCTTACCAGAAACAGCTCCAAGGAAAGGGTACATTTAGAATCAAAGACTCATTAAGGTTGGAAAAGGCTTCCAAGATCATTGGGTTCAATCTCTGACTGAACACCACCATGTCAACTAAATCATAATGCTAAGTGCCATGTCCAGTAGCTTCTTGACACTTTCCAGGGATGGTGATTCCACCACCTTCCTGGGCAGCTCATTCCAAGGCTTAACCACCCTTTCAGAGAAAAATTTCTTCCTGATGTCACACAGGAACCTCCCCTGGTACAGCTTGAGGTTATTTCCTCTTGTCCTGTTGATTGTTGTTTGGGAGAAGAGACCAACCCCCACCTGGCTACAGCCTCCTTTCAGGTGGTTGTAGAGAGAAGTAAGGTCATCCCTGAGCCTCCTTTTCTCCAGACTTAACATCCCCAGCTCCTTCAGCTGGCCCTCATAAGATTTGTGCTCCAGACCCTTCCTCTGCCTTGTTGCCTTTCTCTGGACACTTTCCAGCCCCTCAATGTAGTGAGGGGCCCAGAACTGCACACAATATTCAAGGTGTGACCTCACCTTGTCAGTGCTGAGTACAGGAGCACAATCACTGCCCTGATCCTGCTTGCCACACTATTGCTGATCCAGGCCAGGATGCCATTGGCCTTTCTTGGCCACCTGGGCACACTCTGGCTCATGTTTAGTCACTGTCAACCAGCATCCTCTGGTCCTTTTCCATTGGGGCACTTTCCAGCCACTCTTCCCCCCAATCTGTGGTGCTGCCTGGAGTTGTTGTGACCAAAGTGCAAGACCTGACATTTGGTCTTGTTGAACCTCACACCACTGGCCTCAGCCCATTGATCCAGCCTGTCCAGATCCCTCTGCAGAACCTTCCTGCCCTCCAGCAGATCAACACTCCCTCCCAACTTGGTGTCATCTGTGAACACACTGAGGGTGGACACCATCCCCTCTTCCAAATTTTTGATAAAGATATTAAACAGGTATGATCCCATGGCTGTCCTTCCTGTGCTGCATAATGACACAATAATGATCTGTTCCATAACCTTCCCAGACACTGAGGTCAGGCTGACAGGCCTGCAGTTCCCCAGATCCTTCTTCCAACCCTTCTTGCAGGTGAGCATCACACTGGTCAGTCTCTCTGGGTCCTACCTACCAACTCAGCTGGCCAGCTGCCTTGAGGATATTGGGTCTTTCTGCTGAAGACCAAGGCAAAGAAGGCATCAAGTACCTCAGCTTTTTCTTCATCTTTGGTTACAACATTCCCCTCCACATCCAGTAAAGGATGGAGATCTTCCTTGGACCTCTTTTTGTTGTTAATGTATTTATAAATTTATCTTTCACAGCAGTGACCACACAGAGTCATAGCTGAGCTTTCACCAATCCAATTTTCTCTCTACAAGACCTGATGACATCCCTGTACTCTTCCTTAGTTGTCTGCCTCTATTTCTCAAGGCCATAAACTCTTTTCTCCCCCAGTTCCAGTGAAAGCTCTCTATTCAGCCAGGCCAGTCTTCCCTGCTGGCTCATCTTTTGGCACCTAGGGAGAGCCTGCTCCTGTGCCTATAAGAGTTCCTTTAAATATATCCAGCCTTCCTAGATCCTTATTACACAGAACTGTGCAATCCCTTTAAATATACTACCGTGGGTCTCCCCAAAAAATAACTCTCCTGCACCATGTTGTGGAAAGACTAGTTTGGAACAAGAGAGCTTTGGAAGAGAAAGCAAAAAAGCCACGCTAACACGGATCTCACTCCCAGGTCAGCATCATTTCAGGTCTGTGTCTTCACACCACTGCACAGTAAGGTGCAACATACCCAAAAATATACTCATGGCACAGCATAAAGTAGTAAAAATGGAATATTTTATTTAGAGACTGAAGTGTAGGTGTTATGGGAGAAAAATAGCAAGAGGAAAGAAATAAAGGTATTTCTGTAAGAAGCTCAGGCCTGTCATCACATCTGTCATCACCACCTCTCCTGACACATTCCTTAAGCACTGAAGTGCCTAACAATTTCCTTTTTTCTGCTTTGTCCTTTATTTTTCCTATCTTTGAAAGCACCCTCTGCTAATTCTGATGTGTGAGCATCTCAGAATGTCATCATCAAGGGACAAGGCTTTTTATGAAACCAAACAGCAGTGAATCTCCTATGAAGAAGGCTGAGAGAGTTGGGGTTGTTCAGCCTGGAGAAGAGAAAGCTCCATGGAGCCCTTACAGCAGCCTTCCAGCACCTAAACAGGCTACAAGAGAGCTGGAGAGGAACTTTTGTCAAGGGCATGTAGGGATAGGACAAGGGGGAATGTGTTCACTGAAACAAGGTAGGTTTAGATTAAGTATTAGCAAGAAAATCTTTACTGTGAGGATGGAGAGACACTGGATTGGGTTGCCTGGAGAAGCTGGGAATGTTCCATCCCTGGAAGTGCTTAAGGCTAGGTTGGATGGGGCTCTGAGCAACCTGATCTAGTGGAAGGTGTCTCTGCCCATGGCAGGGAGATAGGAACCAGACTGCTGCTATAATGATTTCCATTGTTCCTCTAATATAATTTGAACTTTCAAGAGGGATAAGAGTTACTGTAACAGAACCTCTAATATATTACTTAATATGCTGTTTGGGGTTTAAGTCTTATGAACTTTTTTTTTTTTGTGTTGTGGTTTGGGGGGTTTTTGTTGCTTTGGTTTGTTTTTTTTTAATCTAAGAGAACTGTTTTGGAAAAAGATTAGTAATTTATCCACAATGCCTCATTATCTCAGAATCACCACTAGTGAATATGAAGATAAAATTACATGAAAATGTCAGATATGGCAAATTATTTCACTGTACATTACCTAAAGCATAAGCACAAAAGGTGGTAAAAGCACTGAACAGCCACACCCAGGTGGGAACAAGTCCGGGACTGTTACCTGAAAAAAATGGGGCAGTGAGTCAGTGTAACAGGGGTTAACATCAAAGAAATCCACCAAGACACACATATATGCACAAACTAGCTGCCACTGATTAACCCACTGCAGCAAACAGATTGAAATATTTGAGTCTGACCTTCAGGCATCGGTGAGCTCTATCAAAGAAGCACTGAGCAGGCTTGAATGTGTTTACATCATAAAGGACAGAAAGGTAACAGAGAGGATTTTAGTCCTGAAAGGACTCTAGTATTGCACAAAACAATACTAGTAACTAGGCAAAAATATTCACAGGTCATAGGAAGACTATCCATTAAAAAATTAGTTAATATTCATGTAATATATGGGAAAAAAAATTCAAGCATGATTTTCTGTGCCAGTGTGGGGTTTGTATAGCACTTTTACCACACAGATCTGAACAGGAAGTTTTTGTCATTAGGCTAGCAGAAATATTAGCACCTTTTCTTTTCCCCTTGAGAAAAAGGAAAAGATAGTTGAATTGGACAGAGCCCAGGGTTCTGTTCTTGCTCTCCTGATAGCATTAATCCAAGGTTATTGTTGCTCTTTTAAAGAAATCGATCCTTTTTCCAAAGAGACTTCCATTTAACTTAAACATCACCCAGTACTACATCAATGCCAAACAACTGTAAATGCAAAGTCCTCTCAGATTTCTGCCATTTGGCACCAAGCACAGGGAATTCCTGCATACAGAGGTGCGTCCTTGCCTGAATGATGCCAGAAGACGCCAGCACCTAAAGCAGTGCCCTGAGTACCTCTCTCTCAGTGCCTCATCTTGCTATTCTGAAAGGTGATAATTCCTGACTCCTAGCTGCAGATCTGCAAACTGTACCATGAAAACCAACTGTGCAGGAAATTAGGTCTTTTATTTCTGATCCTAGGTATGGGATTGATATATGATACTCCAAAGGCCGTTTAGGTTGCATGAAAGTTTTCCATCAACTGAGAAATGATGGGTACTGTTCTCATCTGGACTCAGGAAGAGATTGCAAACTACACATACAGGTCTCAATGCTAACAGAATTAATCACCATTTCAAATGTCTTCAACTTACATGTATATCTACTGAGAATGTGTCAAGATAACATCACCCCATTAAAAAGATCTGTTCTGGATATTCTTGTATTATAGGACTGAGTAAATATCATCTGCATTGATAAAAAAGTGCCAGGTGTTAAAGAACAAGATAACTATATAACAAGCTGGTCCTGAAAACTTTTGAACCAAAACTGCTAACAAGTATCCCAACCTCTAAAATTGCTATGATAAATGTACAACAGCCCACACCAAAGGATACCTCCTGAAGCTAACCACAAGCATAAAAAAATAAAGGCAGCTGAATGTAGTTGTTTCAGGAGATAAAAGTGTTATCTTCACTAAATTGTTCTAGTTTAAGGAAAATCAAAGCCTTTTATCTATATATATATATTTTACATTTTAATCACCTGGAAGATTCTTACTATTTTCTGTGGGCTCCAACAGCTGGTATGAGAAGCCCAAACCAAACATGCCCTACACTCAGGAGCAATCAGGTCCAAAAAATTTCTCACTTGGTCTGCAATGAGGAGCAAACATAGACTTGGACTATGAAAGTCATAATTTGAAGAGACATTTATTTAGAAACTAGGTTTTTTTTCTAGAAGCAGTCTTGAATAGGGGGTGCTATTATGTGGAGAAATAAAAGGGAAGTTAACTCCTTCAGGCATCAGTTCAGATATTAGGAAATGTGAAATCAGTGAAAATGTCATGAAGAATATTCAGGTGGATTTTGGCTGTGTATTTAAACCCTGGAATAAACTTTAAATATAATAAGATCAGAGACTTCAAGCAGCATATGCTGAAACCCATTTTAGGGATAAAATTAAATAAGATTTTTCAATAAAATTATAAATTTGTAATGTTTTGTGTGAGGTAGAGTCTTCTATCTGTGCCTACGGGAGCCTCATTATGGAAATAAGTGGAAGATTCAAGTGCCTGATATCTCCCTGTAACATTCAGAAGTATAAGCAGTTCAGTAATTCTGAAAAATTATGTGAATATATTTACCTGAGGCAGTGTAATCCCAGTCATAAAAAGATATTAGAAAATAATTAAATAAAATCATGACAAATCCAGAGAATGTTAACAGGTTGGGAGCAATCCACAAAGGCACTATCTGTTAAAAAATGAAAGGAAAAAAAATCAGAAAAATTGTATTTCAAATTGAACATCTTATTTTAATAAAATATTTTTTTAGGAAAGAAGCTTTGATGTTATCAGCAATGTTCAGACTTGTGTAGATTTCCCCATTTTCAAATTAAAATACAGTTTTAATTTCTGAAATTTATTTTCAGATGCAATCCTTTTGCCTGATTTTTGTGACTGTGGTAAGAATGAAATTTTTAAAATGTTGTACTCCCTTTAAACTGTTGTACATTATCCTTATTTACCCAGCTTCCTAGGAAAGCCTTTTGAGATCAGCTGTTTCAGAACTGAAAGAAGACTGCAGCACCCCAGTGTGGTAATTCAGCATCCACATGGCAAGTTTTTTAAGCATTGTATTCCCACACTATAAGAAAGAAAGTTCTCCTTCCAAAGTATGTGAATAATTTCTTATTCAAAACATCAACAAAATCAGACCCTGAGTGCATTACACTTTTACATTCAGAAGATCTCCCTGTTACAAGCATCTCCCTACTCTCTAGATAGTAACTTTCTGCCAGGGTCTCCGTTACTCATCAATAATAAACACTCCATTAATTCATTTTATTTTAGAGGGTGCTGAAAAGGACTTCTTTTGAAAACACTCTTCCCAAGTAACACAGTTTCTCCAGAATATTTTTTTGAAATAGCCTGCACAGCTTTTGACATGATTTTTGGACAGAACATATTTGTAGAAATACTAAGTATCAACATTACGATCACTCAAACATATCATCAATATATTTAAAACACCAAAACACTGGAGGCTTATAATTAAATTATTTGGATTGTCTAAGGACTCAAAATGTATATAAAGTACTTCAACACTATAAAATAGTACATGAAAATATTGTAGAAAATCAAGTCAAATAATTCCTGATACTAACAGGAATAGCATATTAAAATACAACAGTATACTATAACTATACTAGTTATAGTATATGTTAGTAACTATACTAACAATAGTTTTGAAATCAAATGCTTTGTTAATATCTCTGGATTAGTTAGCTGAATAGACATATGAATACATATTAATTCCTTCTATCCTACTACTACATTTACTTACATTTCCTTTCAAAATCTGAATGCTTCAACTGATTAACTGTCCTGACTAGCTTATCTTTTTCAGCTCTAGAGTAATTTGCAATACTCAGGAGAAATTGTGAAACCAATGGTGTACAGACTAAGCGTACACTTCCAAAAATCAGATTACAGTTCCTGAACACTTTTCCATTATGTTTTTCAGATGTTTTGTTTAATAACATTAGGAAAACTATTATATCTGATACTTGCTTTCCTTATCAGCAGGACTTTATCACTGATTTTAAAACTATGTGTCAGCTCTCATGGTATTTAAAATACACCATAGAATGCATACAGAAACAATTTAAAAAATGTAACATATCCATTATTCTGAGCGTTCAAAAGGGCAAATCTAAATCTCTAAGAAAAGGGACAAAAAATGTCCACTGAAACTCTTTTTGGAAAGCAACTAAGGAGGAACCCTTCACTGACTGCATGCTCAGCATGAAACTACAGCCACACATCTCCCCGTTTTGCTACCTGAGGATGCAGAAGATGAATCTCCTGCTGGGGATTTATCTGGTATCTATGACCTTCCATGAAATAAGAATCACAGACACTGAAAAAAAACTCGATTTGTCTCTTTTAATCTAAATCATAGATCAAAAGAGTGTTTTAAGACACCATGGATGAAATGTTTACATGGATATACATGGATAAACTGACTGCTTGTTCCTGAATGATTCATAAGAATTGTTGAGTATTAAATCAAGTGGGGCACCACAAATGTCTGCTTTCTAATTAAGCTCATCATTCTGAACAGTCACAATGCAATTTTAAAGTTACTACAGGAAATAATTTATGCTTCCATGGTGCAAACATGAAGAAGTTATTTTAACTCACTTTCTTGCTAACAGTATGTATTTTAAGAAGGAAACCTTCAAAGGATGTTGTTATAATTGCAATCCCTTTGACTAACAGTCACACCATGAAAAACAGTTACAGGAGTTCTGTCCTCAGGAAAACAGACTCTCCTGCAGTTAAACCCTTAAGCATGTTCTTTTGATCCTTACCGAACCTAATCTGTCTAGGTATTTGGAAAGTATTCTAGTTGCAAAATCTCTTTTGTTATATTTAATGCCCCTTATCCTTTTGGTTGGCATTACACTACCATCACCCTATTTCATCATTAGAAAATCACAGGGTGTTCAAGATTAACGTCTTACACACCTTAGAAAAATAGAGCCTGGATATATTATTGTGCTACAGAAGGATAAGCTGCAATCTTTATTATCTAATTAACAGACAGTAGAGGTCTAATACATCAACTGCTACATGATTGATACAACTGGAGGTGCCATGGGGAGAATCACATCTCTCTGGCAAAGCCCTTGTGTGCTTGAAGTTTTTAGAAAACTCTTAGTTCCATGAAGTATTAACTGATTTCTGTTTCTCTGGGTCTACAGCCATTCATTCTAAAAGCCTTAGTACAAACAGCAAATGCTTTAATATAGCAACTATTTGGATAACAAATGGTAAAGTACACATTTATATAAAGCTCTGTTCAAACTTCACTAGGTCACTTGAGACCACTAAAATGCTACTCTTGCCCAGTTCTGGTGATAAAATCAAAGTTCATAAAGGCAACAGAGGGGAGGTTAATTGATTTCAGTGATGCTGGCATACACCTGTGCATTCCAATGGGATTTCCTCCTTTTCCTCTCATTGTCCAGCAACTCCACCAGAGATAAATGAGCTGGGTTATGACAATATGTTTCAGCTCAAATTCACAGGTCTTTAATGTCAAGCTCTTCTTAATTTCTTATAACATAGGAAGTACATTTTACAATTAATGGTAATGTCTCATAACATAGGAAACACATCTTCTAATGAATTCTGTGTTGTAGAATACAGAGAAACTTTAGAACTGTTGCCATTAGGATTAAACAGGCAAATTAGGATTAAAAAGGCAAAGGCAAGACCCAAATCCCAAGCCATTGTTCTCATGGTTTGCTTAATTTTTTTTTTCTTGGCTCAGTGAATTTGAGGTTGCTTTATTTTTTCACTCCTCTAGAATTTGAAGCTGAGAGCAATATAGTTTCCCTTTAAATCCTTGTCACACATCACTGAGAAGTATTCTGTAACCCTCTTTTACCAGAAGGCAAAATGGAGCATTCACTGGTGTATCTTCAGTATTCAAACCAAACCAAATGGCACAGTACACACTGCACCACCCACTTTAGTCTTTGGTTCTGTACTCAGATTGTTGAAATAGGTTTTAAGTTTTTTGCTTTGGTTTGGGTTCTCCTCCAGCAAGAAATGAATTTAATTATGCTCAGCTAAAAATCAATTAGATTTTAAAAAATCTAAAGAGGTCACATTTTTTATAGGACCTATCACCCTAAGCTACATGGGGATAATCAATAATGTTGCTTTTCTTCTGGTAAAATGCTTCAGCCATTAGAACTTATCTCCAAAGGGAGTTTTCCATGGACAACACTCTCTCTTCAATCTGATAGCAAATGAATAACCACCCATCTCCTAAACCAAAAGGCCCATGCACAGTAAAGCCTCTACTCATCTCCCATGCCATAGTGCTGGAGGGGCTTTTCTGCCTCACTGTTTTCCTCAACATTATGATGGGAATAAAAACAAAGTCTCTGAACTGAATTACTGAATTCAGTGTCACATTTTTTAATTGCTTTTTTCTCCTCCCATGTTCAGGTTGTTTTTTAATTCTTCAGTTGGGTCATATAAACACTTTTCATGAAATTACTTTGAGGTTATGAATTAGAGATTATGATTTTCCTGCCATATCAAGAATAAGCAACACCTGAATTATAGAACCCAGAGATGGCAGATCCAACAGCACTCTGACCACATGCACCCTTTTTTATTTATGCAAAGGTTTATTTTCAAGTCTGCTCCAATCTAAACATTCCCTGTAATGAGGCAGATGCAGAAGTCAGTGCTTCCTTGGAGATCAATAAAATTCACATTTCTTTAAGATACAGCTTTTTTTCTTTTTTTCTTTTTTTTTTTTTTTTTGCCAACAACAGCATAACTAATTGTGAGTGGTTTCTTTTTAAAAACTGCAGATTGTAATGCATTCAAGAGATGGCATCTTCCAGTCATTATGGTGATCATGGTAACCACTCTCATTTTCAGCTTCTGAGAGGAACGCCTGGCTCCCTCAAGCAAGTCCCCTTGGGAGAAAATGAGACAGTGCTTGCATAAAATCATATGCACAGCACAGAGAGAAAGCCATGCTGTTGTTAGGCAGCATATGCTGCACAAAAATAATCTGTACTAAGTAAAACCATCCATGTCTGCAAAGCTGTTTAATGAAAGATGTAATAATGAAAGATGTAAAAAAGAAATGGATGCCTTTTCTACAGCAATCAGAAATAAAGAAACAAGCCTTTTCTTCCTAAAAAAATAATCTCAAAACAACATACTCACCTTAAACACAGATATATATACTGCAATGTTTATTTTCTTTTATCAGATGTCTTCATTTCAGCTTTATTGATCAATATGTAGTTTTAAATGAAAATACAAACTATATTTAAAACAATTTTTACATTAACATGTTATGTTTTTATTAAATGAAATTCTTACCTTAATAATTTTATTCCAGATGGGCTGCATAATATACACAGATAAAGGATTTGTATCCACAGCACTGTACTGTGAGGAAAAAGCAAGCATGTTAAACAAAGCACTGAACAATGGCTATTTTTCTAGGACTACATATCCTTCAGCATCTAAGAGCACTCAGTGAGACTGGTGTAAATTTATTTTATTTTGATTAAAAGAATAGGTTTTACTTAATTTAAAAGCACTGGCCTGGTTTACAATTACCTTGTTAGCAATTCTATGTATTAACACAAAGGTTTAGGCTTGTGAAATGGCAAACTCTGTCATAGCTCTGTAGTCACATTTTACTTTTAAATTCTTATTAATTTCACAACCTTATAAGATTCTGCATTTCTACCATATTTTGGATGTAACACTTCCATTTGCACTACCAATAATGCATATGAACTGAGCACCAGTTCATTGCTAGTATGTAGGATAGATAGTAAATATGGAACATGTTTGTAGGTGGAATATTATCTTGCAGAGATACACAGCTTTGTCAGAGTAACACAGTTGCATTTGCACTATGCTAATTCATGTGAGGCAATGTTATCATAAAAATGAGCTCTAAAATAGCACAGTTCATTACCACAATAAAATTTCTCTACTGGACAGACTTCTAAATACATGTGTTTTATAAATTCCAGAAAGTACATATCTATATCTTTTGTAAACAAAATACTTTAGAAATCTATGGCCACCCTGAATTGCTGTTGTCTCCTTTTTCCTCAGAGGACTGTATCAAGTTTTATCCTGCATTGAGACTGCAGAACACAGAATAATCTGAGGAAGAACAATTTTAATTGACAATACCACCCAAAACCATGCATTTGAGCCCTGGCAGGTAGGCATCGGAAGAAGTTATCCATCATTGGAGTGGTATACATAATTATTTCAGAAATTCTTGGACTTTGAATGTGCATATATGGCTTTGCATTGCTAGGATGATGCACATGGCTCACAAAGATTCAGATATATCTATATAAAGCACTGTCCAAACATTCTGTGCAGAAAATGGGAGTACGATAGGGATGTGTTACACCACAGTTTGACAAAGCTGCTTACTTGCAGAAGAGCTGATAACAGAGAGTCTCCTTTCACATAATTTCAGCTAATTGTTGATTGTCTCTCCATAAATGTAGTTAACTTATTGACCTCTCTTAGCCAAGTACTCCAAGCTCTCCAAGGAGGAGGAGACTGCACTCTGGAAGTACCTGTTCCAAGTCATTATCAAAGCAACTTAGGCGCTTGTCCTAAACTCAGGTACCTACATATGAAATGCTTGGGGACTCTTCCATACATTTCCTTTTTCTATCTGAATACAAAGCCTATGTTTTAATTACCTTCTGGACAAAACAAGGCATTCACATGGTAATTTTGTGTGTTCAAGTTTAAATCACAGATCATAAACATAGCATCTAATAAAATTATTATAACACAACTATACACTGTAAATACATACTGACAAATCAAAAAAAATCACCTAGCAGTAACTGATCAGACCAGACTGCCTAAATTTCCAAAGGGAATAAAAATTTCAGTTTAATGAAGTGTACATCACTGATTTTAATTTTTCTAAAAATGCTGTATGTGTTCACTTTGATGTGTCATTTTTCTCTGCTGCTGCCACCCATATTACTTAATACATGATGCAATTTTATCATGAACAGATTTTTTCACCAGAATATATATTAGAATTCTTAAATACATTACCTCAGAAAAAAAAATAATTTGCAGGTAAAACTTAAGTTTTCATCATTTTGTATGTATTTGCAGGTGCAGATGCTGTATTTATCTTTCAAACACTGATTATTACAACTGTTTGAACTTTTGATAGTTCAGCTTCCATGTGAATTACCTGTGGGCTTTGCTTAGGTTTATGCCAAAATTAACAATAATACCAACCCATACAGTACCTATGCCAACAGATCAGTCAGCTAGTACTTAATTCACATGAAAACCATGGAAAACCTCTGAGAATGAAGAAAATTCAAAGTATCCATTAGCACTTTCAAGGTTCCAGGTAATCAGGAGACTGCTCAAAGTTTTACTGTGGCTACTGCCCATTTCCTTAGCCCAGCTGGTATTCAAAGACTGTTTGAGATACAGGACAATTTGCAGACTAGCAAATTCAATTAATTCAGCAACACCTGGATAAGAGTGTGCAAAGGTCATAATAAGTGAGTTTTACCCTTGCTTCTACTTTGGCATTCTCTTTCTCCCCTCACCCCCAAGTCAAAGTCATGAATAAAATCAGAAAGTGTTAGCTAAACAACAACAGTAAAACAAGGCTTTCTATCCAAACTATTCACTGGCTGTTCAGAACTATTGCTTTCTCTTAGAAGAAAAAAAAAAAAAAAAAGAAAATCAGTCTCATTCCTTTGAAATTGTGTTCTTATATAGAAAATATAAGAGACTATATAGATATTATATATTTTTTGTATTTTCTTTAATGGAAGATGTTAGAGATTAGGTAGCTTTCCAACATATCTCTACATAACAGACACAAACAAGAGACACAGTCAGCTTTTTGTTTGTCTCACAGTTTCAAAAGTCAAGCACCAAAAATCAGAACAGACCTAATCAGAAAAAAAAGTAAAATAAAAAAAAAGTAGAATTACAGTTCGCTTTTGTTCACTACGAAGACACACCACACTTCATCCCATTAATTCCTGTGTCTGTGGCTGAACTGTTGGTCCTCTGGGTGGGGAAGGAACATTCAGCAGATGTGCAGAAGAATGGAAATTTGCTCTTCCCTCCACAATAATTTGTTTTAGCCAGACCAAAGGAAACACCCATGGAAAAATAGTTTTCAGTTGTGGCAAAAAATAAAACTTGACAAATAAAGTCTGCTATACAGTTTAATACTCTGCTTTGTTCTACTCCCAAGAAGCTACTGACCTCAAGGCCATGAAATCCTCAGGAGTTTAATGTTCATGGCTGCTCAGAAAAGCAAAGTACTGAATAACATGCTCACATTGTGACCAATGAACATGAATGCAATAGTCCATTGAACCTGATGCAAAAAAAAGCATTTGCCATTTGTTATTGTGCAACTCTGTCATTTTCAGGGCACTTACACTAAAAGACAAAAATGGAGAGGATAAGCCTGTTGGAGGTTTTTAAGTGCAAGGCTCATACAAGTACTAAGCATTTCCCTGCAAACACTTTCTGCCCTGGAAAAGGGATTGATTGTCCATATACAAAGAAGAAGGGCTTGGAATGATCAGAAAGCTTCTCTCAATTATTTTTGTATTAAGTTGTAACAATTGGGAGGAAAAGGCAGTAGTGAGTGAATAGGAAAAATGGCATTGACTTCATATTGCTCCCAAATTTAAAAGTGCTTCTTCTGGTTTTATTTAATAGCTGATATCTCCTTGAAAGCCACATGCTTTCTCTCTCAGTGTTAATGGCTTCTAGCAGAGCTAGAAATGAGAATATAGATACCAGATATGCACACACATACAAGGTGACTCAGGCAGCACATGAGAAGTACTTTTACTTTGTGTTCCTGCATCTTAATTTCCATCCAGGGGATCCAGCACAGCATCAAGTTTGCGCTGGTCACCTGTTTTAAAGGGGAAAGGAAATAAGATTAAGGAGGAGGGGGGAAAAAAGGGATAAACAGTTAAGAAAAGTAACAAACAGACAAACAGGAGAAAGAAAAATGAGCAAAAGCAAAGGTTTGGCTATACAGAAGAAAGACAACTGTTCTGCAGTGACAGAGCAGAGCCAAATACCGAGGGGCAAAAGCACTCCCAGTGATCAAGGTCTGCTCTGCTAAATACAAGACAAACGGTATCTTCTGGCTCACATCCACACAGCTTAGAAGTACTTCCCATTATTGCAAACTGGTTACATCAGCACCACAAAGCATCTTCTGGAGGGGTGTTGGGCCTCATCATCTGGCCCTACACACCCAAAACATCATTAGCATTCAGTAAATTTAAGTTCAAAGTATCTGAAACAATCTGGAGACGACACTGTAACCCAGCAGTATGACACTTCCAGAGCATGAAAGTGAGCCCTGTCTGCTCATGTTCATGGTCAGAAACCCAAATGCCCATGTTGGAAGAGTGTTGAAGGATGGTGAAACCAAAAAAAATTATGTGCACTGGCTCCAGAAGAGACTATTTCTAAACCAAAAGCCTAGCTATTGCCTTGGAGAGACTTCAGAGAAAACAAACAAACAAAACCCAAACAGGGAGTGAGCTAACCATTAATGAGAGCAGGCACTGGATCTTCACAGGACTCCCTAGACCTCTCCAGCTTTGCTCTGTGGAGGCATCACAAGAATAAAATTTGGAATCACTACGATTAAGAGAAAAATATAAAGTATGTCTACACAAACTTCAGAGTCAGGAAAGAAAGCAAGCTGCAAGAAATGTAGTTGCATAACTACATTATATAGTTATTTCCACTTCAGCTGCTCTTTATACTAACAGACTATTCCTTTCCTTTACTTATATGATCTCATCCCAGGCAGCACCGGATTATGCCATTCAGTCATTTACATTCACAACACCTGTGTTTTGTAAATGACAGACAAAGGGGTGGGAGGTGACAATGGACTCTCTTTTGCACAAGGTAAGAGTTTTTTCGTGGTTTTGAAAGCTGCAGGATGACCCTCCCAATCCAGGGCATGATCCAGTCTCTATTTAAGAGCGCTCAGTGGGAAATCACCCTTCTGGGCAATGTCTCACTCAACATGAACTTGGCTTCTGTGAAACGTTACACTTCAGGAACCACACAAAAATAAAGAAAATACTGAAATACTGGCACATCTGGTAACAATTTTCCATCAGTCTTTCTAATTCCTAGAATACATTAAACATGTGGAGTTTAATTCTACTTTATATATGTTTTTACAGGTTTGTAGTTATTATGGAACAGAATCTTGGACTTTAACAAAAGCTTCACAGAGGGAAGAAAGAGAAGCATGCGATAAACAACAGAGCTCCACAACACTGTGGATGCCAAATATGTTCAGCAGTTTAAGTGCTGATGTATTCTAAAACACAGTCCCGTTATTTCTAATAATA